GCCCGACCTGGAACTAGACCGCCTGGTCAACCTGGCTGTTGGTGTTAGCTTTCCGCCGACATACATAGGCCTCTAAATTAAAAATGAAATATTACAGGAGTAAACACTATTAAAAAAAGAACACAATGAAGTTAAAATATGAACAGGCGTATTACTGAATATTAGGAGTTCATGAGATCTTCCTAACACCTTTCATATTCACGAGATTTCAAGAAAGCAAACAATATTGTCAGTACACTAAACATTTAGGATGGTAGTACTGCACCTCCCTGAGAGGCTGCCGTCTATCTATCTACGACCTAAACTCTTGGAAATACAAAATTTCCCTCAGACAGTACTCCCTGGTACGGAGACAATTAATACTATAATTTACTGCTGGAAAATAGTGGACAAATTAGTTCGAAATTCATCCAATAAAAATAAACCTTTACAAGACGATTTAAAATATCCTCAACAAAAAGCAGGGATGTAACAAGTACACTGATAGATAACTCAATAAGCATATTAGTCTCAGTTTGAGTGAGAGCTACAGCCCAACTTGCTACGCTACCAACAATTACTTCTTCTAACTTACCTGATCTGGCGATCAAGCCTAGTCTGAGACTGGACCGCGGGGGCGATGATCCAAGGAACCATCAACGGGTACTACACACATGATAAACTTAGTGGGATCCAGAAGCCAAGGCAATTTCTCAGGAAAGCGGGAGAATTATTATTATAATCAAGGGGGAAGCGCTAAACCCGGAGGATTATACAGCGCCTGGGGGGGATGTGGAAGGCATTCAGGCTTAATTCGGGGAACTGGAGCACAGATCCAATTCCCTAAATCAAGAGCCCCTCACCAACATAAAGGGAACCTTCCTTGAGGGGGAAAGCGGGAGAAGCACGGAGCGACGTAGGCTGGCTGTCATCCTAGGAACCCCACAAACAGGCAAGTCCTGAGATAAGAACGTTCATCACGCTGGTGCTAAGAGTTTATTCGATTATTAGCCCAGGGTGGATTAGTAATCCAGGATAACCCAGCAGCACTACGGCTTATTTACACTGGGGTCCTTTGATCCTCTTCCCATGATGCAATTCACAGCAGTCAGCTAACACCCTGGTACTCATTGTTAGGTGAACCCTAGGCAACATATGTTAGGAAACATACCTAACGTTTCCTCTTGTGCTAGGAGCCCCTCAGGCAAGGTTCCTTGACGCTGGTGAGGGGCTCTTGAGCTAGGGAATTGGATCGGTGCTCCAGTTACCCTCAATTGAGTCTGAATACCTTCCATTCACCCCCCTCCCACACGCGCTGTATAATCCCTATGGGTTTAGCGCTTCCCCATGATTATAATAATTGTGCTGGAAGTGAACCCAGATCCTCAGATGCAAGCTTAAGGCGCTACTATTTGAGCCACAAGCCACAGTCCCCAGTGTCCCACATCCAGCACCCATCCATCCAATAGGTGGGATAGGCCATCCTAAGAGAAGGTAATTTCCCCGAAATGGTAACTCTAATTCTCCTGGAAAGAAACATTTTAAGCTTCCATTCTTTCATGTCAACCGTGTCGTAGTGCGTACGATGGACTGCACTATCAGCCTGGTCGACCAGGCCAGCAACCGGGAGGTACGGTCTGGGATTGGACTGGACCGCTGAAAAGTGACTCCGTTAACGACTACGGGTAAACTACAGGTTACTTTAATGGTCGTCGATATCCTCATTGTCCTGCTGATTACCAAACAAAAAATTTATAGATATTGCCCTGGGAGAAAATCCAGTCTTTCCGCCAGCAGAAAAAGATTTGGTTTCCACTGAAGTCACAGGTCTTCTGCAGGTACTGAACAAACGGAGACAAGCTATAGCTTTGCCAGGTAACAAATTAAACAAATTTAATATTTGTCTGTTAATGGTTCCCCGGATTATTGCCCCCACAACCCAGTCTCAGGCTTTGCCTCCTAAACTGTAACATTAATATTACAGGACCAAAAAACTATCAAGAAACAAGCGAAACAAAGATAAGTTATGGCGAATGTGAATTGAAGTTTGTAAGATGTCATCTTAGAAGTTCTTGAGAGAAAAGTCCAGCAATCCTACCACAAGGACCCAATGGAAATGAGTCAATGACTTTTTTGGGGGGTTATCTTAGGTAAGTTACACATATGTTACTAGGCTGAAGGAGACTCGAACCTACGAACCTTAGGACAAGGTACGCAGTGCTTTACCAATCTACCCACACTAGACAATACCAGTGTGGGTAGATTGGTAAAGCACTGCGTACTTTGTCCTAAAGTTCGTAGGTTCGAGTCTCCTTCAGCCAGAGATCAGTGTTTGTGTATATTTCGCCTGCTCTCGTGAATTCCTTGCATATGTTACTATGTATAATAATTTGCAACTGTATTTATACGTACCTGTACCTAGATACAATTATTAAAGCAAAATTTTGAACACGCTGTCTTTTCACACTCATATTACAAATGACAATGGCAGTACAGCTATGCTGCTAACAATAACAATATATAATTTTCATTAACTGTAATTTTGTGTTTAATATTTATAAAAAATATATACTGATTTGTTTCTGAATGAAAAATCAATTAAATTTCAAGTTACTATGCTGTATGACCATATACAATATAGTGACTTCAGCTCCTGTTGGCCAGCGAGAACGATATGCAAACAATAACAAACCCAGGTTACTTAAGTAGGTATTTTTTTTTATTGTTGTTAACGCACATCGGCCGTTTCCCACCAAGGCAGGGTGACCCGAAAAAGAAGAAATCCTTTCATCGTCTTCATTCACTCCATCACTGTTTTGCCAGAGGCGTGCCTACACTACAGTTAAAAAAAACTGCAACATATCAACACCCCTCGTTCAGAATGCAGGCACTGTACTTCCCATCTCCAGGACTCTACGTCCGGCTAACCGGTTTCCCTGAACCCCTTCATAAATGTTACTTTGCTCACACTCCAACAGTACGTCGTGTCATAAATACCATTCGTCTCCACTCGCTCCTATCTAACACGCTCACTCACGCTTTCTGGAAGACCAAGCCCCTCGCATACAAAACCTCCTTTACCCCCTCCCTCCAACCATTCCTTGGACGACCCATATCCCGCCTTCCTCCCACTAAAGATTTATATGCCCTCCAAGTCATTCTATTTTGCAGTCACTATGATTATTATTATTATTATTATTATTATTATTATTATTATTATTATTATTAACCCATTACACTTGAGCAAGTGGTATATGTTGTATGCTAGGGGTGTATAGAACCAGCCTAAAACCTCACCTATATGGCTAACACAATAGGGATTAAGTCACGACTCACCTCGGCCTTGATCATTTACATCCCATTTCCCTGGTGCTAGATACAGATTTAGTTTCCCCTGATTAAAATAGTCATAATACCTAGTCGTTTATGCTAACTCGTACGTGCTGTTTTCTAGCTCTTCAGTCATTACTTCTATGTGTTCTTTTACTACACTCGACGGGTGTTCCGGCTTGATACACATAAATACTGGGTACAACGTAGCGCAGTAGTGTGCTCGGCTCACAACAGAAAGTACCAGGAATAGAACCCTTGGAAAGATGTTAAGTATGCAGCCCATCCTCTTAACTCCCATAAATATCTACGTATATGGATTCTCACAGATGGTTTATAGAAAAATTCTCGGTTAGGTTGGATTAGGTTGTCCTCTGTAGCCAAGTCTCCTAACACCTGTTGCCCCTGTTAAGTAACAATAAATATTCTTATATTAAGTGCTAAACCCGTGTGGGCTATTCAGCACCAGTAATCTAGGCTCGATCTTTCGTTTGCTAATTGTCAGATGGACGCGCTAATCTCGCAGCCAGTCAGATTATGGGAAGCAATATATAGATTCCCAGTAGTTAGTCCACTGTTGAGTCGCATCCTGGGCTAGAGCCAAAAAAAAATGCACAATGGAAATAAGCCACACTGCTTTTTTGGTTATTAACCCCTCTGGATTACTTATCCGAAGTCTGTTTTTATCCAGGTTCAATACGCGTTTATTTTTTAAATGTCTTACATAGTAACATGCGTAAATTAATTCAGGATCACCCACGAAAGCCAAACAATATAAACTAGCCACAGCTACTGCCCCTGGTTAACTCGCAACAAAAGATACCTGGGAGTTGGTAGACTGTCGGGGAGGTTCCCCTTGGGGAAAGATCAAGTAAGGACTCCAATGGAAATACGTCCCATTGATAGATTTATAGGGTTATCCAGGGTTACTATCCCTCCTGGGTTAATAAATGAGCAGTCGTCTTTTTCCTCATCTTTTTCCTCATCACTCTGTCTGACTTTTTTGGGTTATCCTAGGTTCTCTACACATATGCTGATATGTATGATAATTCTATGTAACTGTATTTGTGTATACCTGAATAAACTTACTTACTTACTTACAGTCCTCAACACATAATTATAGTTCAGTCAAAAAAATCATGCTATATGGTTTTGTTGGGTAAACCATGATTAAGTTTTCAAAACTTATACGTTTAAAAGGCAAACATTTAAAAGAAATTATATCAGGTTTGCAATGTAAAACATCTGTAAATTAAACCCTAACAGAATTTACTTATGTAATAATACTAGTTTCCTTCAAGCATTCAGCAAAGTAAAACTTAATTCGCCCCACCTTAAGGGAGGTTTCTTGGCACGGGTAAGGGGCTCTTGATCCAAGGAATTGAACTTTATCTCCCCTTCCTTGGATTGAACCTAACTGCCTTCCATTACTACTGGTGCTGTGTGACTCCTACGGCTTTAGTGCTTCCCATTTGAATATATGCTAGTGTACAGCCGTTGCCTTTTATATATATCTATATCAATGAACTGAAGGGTAACTATGCGCTTGGGAAATAGATGGTAATCAGCTTTGATCCAAGGTACGGTAGTGATGCTCCAATTCTTTGGATCAAGAGCCCTTCAGAGGCATTTTAAGTTAGTAATAGCTAATGCTAAGTCGTGCGGGCGAGCCATGGTTCCTGGGTACCTACTTCTCTTGGACGTCTGAAGTGATCCACTCTTCTCTGATGTTCTAACACTCAAATTCTTGTATAAACCACCTGAACACGATTCGTCTGTGTAATCCTTGTCAAGAATGTGATGCACTGATGCTGTGAGAGGTGTCCAGAACGGCACACTCACTAGCACAGCACTGAGAGAGGAGCGTGATACACTACCCCAACTCCACAGTCAGATGCACACTGCTTCCTCCAGCCAACCCTCCAGTCAGTGGCCACAACTTGTGCTACGCCCACTACCCCGCGCCCCACTGCTAACATGTAGCTCTTACTGCTACGCTAACATGTAGCGCTTACTGCTACGCTAACATGTAGCTGTTACTGCTGCGTTAACATGTAGCTCTTACTGCTACGCTAATACATACCTCTTACTGTTGCTCTAACACTGATGCTACTGCTACGCTAATACATACCTCTTACTGTTGCTCTAACATTGGTGCTACTGCTACGCTAACATTGGTGCTACTATTACGCTAACTTTGGTGCGACTGCTACGCTAACATTGGTGCTACTACTACGCTAACATTGGTGCTACTACTACGCTAACATTGGCGCTACTACTACGCTAACATTGGTGTTACTACTACGCTAACATTGGTGCTACTACTACGCTAACATTGGTGCTACTGCTACGCTAATATACAGCTTTTACTGCTATGCTGACATATAGCTTACTGCTACCGTAACATGTAGCTCTTACTGGTATGCTAACATGAAACTCTTCCTACTACATTTAATGCATAGCTCTTACTGCTACGCTAACATTTAGCTCTTACTGGTATGCTAACATATACTTTTTCACTGCTATACTGACATAAAGCTCATATAAGCTAACGTATAGCTCTTATCGCAACACTAACATAGTCTCTGCCGCTATACTAACATAGCTCTTAATGCTATGCTCACATTTAGCTGTTACCTCTATATTCACATATAAAATACTGCTGCAAGCCTACTGGCCCATGCTAGACAGGTCTAACTCTCATAGTTCTTCTATACTTTCGCTGCCGCTATAGAGCTTTACTGTAAGTCATAAACCAACAAGCCTCATTAAGCGGAAATACACGTATATGCCCGAAATGCTATGCATCATAATAGTTCAACCTGTAACTCTGATTTGTGTAAAAAAATCCATAGGGATTACATAACACCTGGGGAATGGGAGGCATTCAGAGGGAAGGGAAGGATAATTCCATTATTATAATTATGGAGAAGCACTAAACCCGTAGGACTATACAGCGCCTGTGGGGGGGACGGAAAGTATTCAGGCTTAATTCAAGGAACTGGAAAACAGATCCAATTCCCTAGATCAAAAGCCCTCTCACCAGCGTCAAGGAACCTCCCGTGAGAGGAGGATAATTCCAGTTCCTTGAATCAAGAGCCCTTCATTGGGATCAAGATACTCCGCTTGTTAATTACTAAATTATTTATGTATTCAAACGTTAGGTCGTCATTTTTAGAAAAGACATTCCCTTCAAGCCTTGTTGAAGGTGAAGGACTCTTGATCCAAGGAATTGGAGCTGGTCTCCCCTTTCTCTGATCATACTTGATTACCTCCCAGTCTCTAGACGATATGACTCCCCCTACAGGTCTAGCTCTTCCTCATGAATATAATAAATTACATTGACTATAGTCTGCATATTACATTTTATCTAAAGAAATGTTGAAAACAAGCCTTAACTGGAACGTTTCGCGGTGTACACCTTTAGTATGTTTCATTGTGTAGAGCTTTATCAAGTCATATTTCGTTCTGTGTAAAACATTATCGTCGTGAATAACAAAAAAAGGCACAATACCGTGACTGGAACAATACACAAATAACCCGCACATAAAAGAGAAGCTTACGACGACGTTTCGTCGTAAGCTTCTCTCTTTTATGTGCGGGTTATTTGTGTATTATCGTCGTGTTTTGCTCCGTGTAGAGCCTCATGTTTCGCCCAGCGCAATATAAGAACATAAGAACATAAGAACGAAGGAACACTGCAGAAGGCCTACTGGCCCATGCGAGGCAGGTCCAAGTCTCCTACCGGCTTAAGCCAATGCACCCAACCTAGTCAGGTCAGGTCACATTGACTTAAGGGAGGAACACGGCAACCGACCTGTTAGCACAAGCTATCAGGTCTAACTCACACCCACCCACATCTACTCATGTATTTATCCAACCTATTTTTAAAGCTACACAACGTTCTGGCCTCTATAACGGTACTTGGGAGTTTGTTCCACTCATCCACAACTCTATTACCAAACCAGTACTTTCCTATATCCTTCCTGAATCTGAATTTTTCCAACTTAAAACCATTGCTGCGAGTCCTGTCTAGGCTAGATATTTTCAGCACACTATTTACATCCCCTTTATTTATTCCTGTCTTCCATTTATACACCTCAATCATATCCCCCCTAATTCTACGTCTTTCTAGAGAGTGCAGTTTCAGGGCCCTTAGTCTATCCTCATAGGGAAGGTTTCTGATACATGGGATCATCTTTGTCATCCTCCTTTGTACATTTTCCAGAGAATTTATATCCATTCTGTAATACGGTGACCAAAACTGTGTAGAGCTTTAGCAAGCCATAACTTGATAAAGCTCTCCATAGAACAAAACGTTGTCCCACTAAAAGCTTATTCTTCACATTGGTCTTGCTTCACTGTTGTTGGCAGTGCGCCATTTATGTGCTTCAGTAAGATTAGTTAGGTACACCTACACATAAATCATTACATAAATTATCATACATATTAACATACGTGTAAATTACCTAGGATACACCCCCCCCCCCAAAAAAAAAAAAGTCAAATTGACTTATTTCCTCAAATGTATTTCAGGAAGACAGACTTGTAGGACGTCCCTTGAGAAGCAGTGGAAGCTGGAACCGAATTTCATTTATTTAAAACTACAAACACATCTAGTTATCCCGTTTATGCTCTTGATGGGAGGGAATGGCGCCTTGTTGTTGCTGAAGGGCTCTTGATCCCTGGAATCAGAAAGCAATGAAGGAGTAATATACAGAAGATAAAGTCTTAAAATAAATATGAATGAATATAAGAACAAATTGTAAAAAATAATATAAGGAATATTTTACTGCTGACCTTGTATCAAGCTTTGGATTTAGAAAATTAGTAAGAAAGCGATCCCTTCCATTCCTTGGATGGCCACAATGGGTTTAGCGCTTTTTCGTGATAAATATATTCCATTCATAAGACCATCCACAGCGGACATTAATGGAGTTGGTTACGTTGATAGCGACGGGGCTAAGAGACACTTAATTCCATAAAATGCTGCTCTTCCTTACCAAGTGTGCTAGTTAACTGCTGTCAGGATAGTAATTTTCATCTATAGCATTGAAGTACCGACATTAAAATATATATAAATCACAAGAGAAGCGAGTACAAAGCCAAGAGAGAATCAGCTGAGTGAGGTGGCGGGAATCTGATGGCTCGCTGCCGGGACCATCACAACCCCGTTTAAATTACCAATGCCATTTTCCAAATTATTCACTAATTAATATGGCCTTTAGGTCCCAAAATACTGAAAATAAAATATTTTGTGCTTCCTTTATTAGAGTATCTGATTTTGGTGTTGTATAACATGTTAGTGTATCTTAAGTTGAGAGTCTGGGTCGCTTGCCTGCCAGACTTACGAAATCACTCCTACCCACCTCCAACACCGTTCACATCTGCTAACTTGTCTATCATTTGTCAGTAATATCACTATAATTTTTTATCCATAACTGTGGAATCTTCTTTCCCAAGTAATATATTACTACTAATCAGCATCGTTGAGCAACAAATTCGTCTAAGAGTAACACCGGCTGCTGAAGACTTTGTTTGCTAGACATTGGTGGAATGATCTCCCTAGATGTCAGTCTCATGGGTTGCTAGACATCGGTGGCATGATCTCCCTAGATGTCAGTCTCATGGGTTGCTAGACATTGGTGGAATGATCTCCCTAGATGTCAGTCTCATGGGTTGCTAGACATCGGTGGCATGATCTCCCTAGATGTCAGTCTCATGGGTTGCTAGACATCGGTGGAATGATCTCCCTAGATGTCAGTCTCGTGGGTTGCTAGACATCGGTGGCATGATCTCCCTAGATGTCAGTCTCATGGGTTGCTAGACATCGGGGATGATCTCCTTAGATGTCAGTCTCATGGGTTGCTAGACATCGGTGGCATGATCTCCCTAGATGTCAGTCTCATGGGTTGCTAGACATCGGTGGAATGATCTCCCTAGATGTCAGTCTCATGGGTTGCTAGACATCGGTGGCATGATCTCCCTAGATGTCAGTCTCATGGGTTGCTAGACATCGGGGATGATCTCCCTAGATGTCAGTCTCATGGGTTGCTAGACATCGGTGGCATGATCTCCCTAGATGTCAGTCTCATGGGTTGCTAGACATCGGTGGAATGATCTCCCTAGATGTCAGTCTCATGGGTTGCTAGACATCGGTGGAATGATCTCCCTAGATGTCAGTCTCGTGGGTTGCTAGACATCGGTGGCATGATCTCCCTAGATGTCAGTCTCATGGGTTGCTAGACATCGGTGGAATGATCTCCCTAGATGTCAGTCTCATGGGTTGCTAGACATCGGTGGCATGATCTCCTTAGATGTCAGTCTCATGGGTGTTAGACATCGTGGGGGGGGACGGGGTGGCATGATCTCCCTAGATGCCAGTCTCATGGGTTGCTAGACATCGGTGGCATGATCTCCCTAGATGTCAGTCTCATGGGTTGCTAGACGCCAGCCGTATATGAGCTAGAAGTCAGAAGCATGGGTTTACTTGGTGCCAGTGGCATGGGTTTGCTGGGTGCCAGCCAGTGGCATGGGTTTGCTGGGTGCCAGTGGCATGGGTTTGCTGGGTGCCAGTGGCATGGGTTTGCTAGGTGCCAGTGGCATGGGTTTGCTAGGTGCCAATGACATGGTTTTGCTAGGTGCCAGTGGCATGGGTTTAGTAGGTGCCAGTGGCATAGGTTTGATGGGTGCCAGTGGCATGGGTTTGATGGTGGCACTGACATGGGTTTGATGGGTGCCTGTGGCATGGGTTTACTGGGTGCCTGTGGCATGAGTTTGCTGGCTGCCAGTGCCATGGATTTTCTAGATGTTAGATGGCATGGGTTTGCAAGCTGTCAGTATCTAATGCGTTTGCTAGATCTACGCTGGTGGCATGGGTTTACCGGATGCCAGTGCCATGGATTTCCTAGATGCCAGTACGTACCTATGATATTGCTAGATGCCAGTATGTA